AAGATTGATAACCGTTGATAAACAGGTGTCATTAAATGAACGGTAAAGATGAAATCAACGATGGATATCGGATACAACACCAAGTACGGTTACCAAGTTTGTGCTATAAATAGCGTCTGATTATCAACAGAAGACCCCCCTGCACACATGAACAAAACAAATGTTGTCTTTTATCTTTACTTCCAAGTTTCGTACTTTCAGTTTCTATAGCTATAGTCTTTACTCTCCAGTTTCGCACTTCAGTTTCCCTAGCTGTAGTTGTTTAGGTCTTTGTGAACTTTGGACGCCATCAGCGATTGGATGGTTTTGCCTGAATATTTTGTAAAAAATCAAGTTCTTTAATCACGACTGGATTGCTCTTGTCCGGAATTGGATCTAGAACTCAGTCTCCTTTCATTAAGAGCCGAAGAACGACTTTATATTTCGTCGTGAGAACATTTCCGACGAAACAGCTAGAAAATCGATCTCTTTAGTGCCATCGTTGGTTTGAGTGGCCAAAAAATTCGACATGGCTCACTGGCAAAGAGCCATTTTTAGCTGTATATATGGTCTGTTGCATATGCATTATGAATACTATGGTTAAATAGGAAATAAATGCCTTACTTAATTCTTTGACCATTTTAGCTTATCCTTTTCAATGAGGAAGGGATACGAACGCAGAAGCCCCGAGGTACCTGGAGGTCCATGAAACACCTCGCAAGTTTCATGAACCTGTTAAGTCCAGGTTTTTACACTTGTGCTACTGGCTTTGTCCAGGTTTTTGCCTATGCAGATGGCTCTAATCTAGAACAATTTGTGCATAGTTGGTGAGATTTGAATAGGTAGCCTCCAATTATTGAACTGGAAATTTCCTGACGCTCCAACCAACCGTGGAAACTCCATGGGGTTGGATGATTTTAGCTTTTGAAGCAGCGCATCAAGTTTAATATGTTTAACCTAGAATCTTGTAGGCATCCCCGCATTTGATTCTGTATATTCTCCTTTTACACTTTTTGAAAGGGTTATTCTATTGATTGCTAACATAATTGCGTGGGGCACCCACCTTAACCAAGATGCAAAATCCAAAGTAATCATATTGCATCCCATAAATGTTTATAAGCTATGGATGATTCACAGGTCGCTATCTTCACAAACTTAGAAAATCTCCGCGATGCATCGTGTATATGAATCATAATAATAACAATTATTATCTTGTTGTCAAATATAACCAAAACAAATGAAGAAACTTTTGGACTTGACAAGAGAAGCAAGTTCACATGCCATCGACTGATCATGCAAGTAACTAATCAATGATAAGATGATATAATAAAAGTTGATTATGCCGTTAAACAGTCATAACTAAACACATAGACCCGGTTGCACATGTTCCAAGCTTCTAGCCATTCCCTAGCTAAACAAACAAACATACTAGCCATAAACAAGCTCAAGGTCTACGTCCGTTCGTGTAGCATTGATGCGATATCGCCAATGATCCATCTCATTCAATATGTTAGGCGTTGTGCCTACTCTCACCTCATCCAACATATCTAGGTCAGCCTAAAATAACAGAATTTTTAATATCGCCTTCATTTTGTATTGGTATTTCATCTGAAAGTTCATTGTCCGATTGTTTTCCTACCCCAATTTTGAAGAAACTACCCGTCCGTGCGCGTGCTCGTGCGCGTTTTCTGTTGATTTGTGTTGATGAGAGGAAGAACATTTCAAACTTCTATACCAAATTTTAATTGAAAATGGTTCTTTTTCATTTCCTTCGAAGGACCAATCTCCCGTCATAATCGTATCCCGCCACGGAGCCATGGAAGGACAAGCAGGGACTATCTTCCCCCTTGGCCCGTTCTAACTTACTATTGTAGGACCAGCAGTAGAATATGACACACACACACACACACACACATATATATATTGAAAAATAATTGGTTTTTGAAGAGTAAATTGCTGCTTGTCTTTGCGTGTGTATTTTGTTTTATTGAAGGTTGAAGCAGACATTTCGTGGATAGGATCGTGGAATGTGATAATTTGGGAGCTAGTGGTAACAACTCAATGTAGGAGGGGGAAACGAGACAAGCACTAGCGGCACTTTTTTGAAAATGGTCCTCTAGTCCATTATTGAGGTTTTAGAATGTACCCATTGTTAGCCGTACATATATTGTCCATTGCATATGCAATTTGAATACCACGGTTAAATACGAAAATATGTCTTATGTTATTCTTTGACCATTTTAGCTTTTCCTTTATAATAAGGAAGGGATACAAGTCTAGATTCATACGCCTAAGTAGGTGACTCTGACCCAGAACAGTATGCATGCAGTTAGTGAGATTTCAACGGGTGACCTCCAATATCTGGACGGGAAATTCCCTAACGTTCCAACCAAGTGTGACGATTTTAGCTTTTGACATGGTTAACCTAGAATCACGTAGGCATTTCACATTTGATTCTCTATATTCTCCGCTTACACTTTTTTTATGGGTTATTCTATCGATCCCCAAAATAATTGTTTAGGAAACTCACCTTAACCAATAAAGAAAATCCAACCTAACCATATTATCGTTGCTATCTTTACAAACTTAGATAATCTCCATGATGCATCGAGTATATCAATCAAATAGCAATAGCAATCTTATGTCAGATATAACCAACACAAATAAAAACTTTTGGACACTTTTGAATAGAGAAGCAGGTTCACACACCATTGACTGATCATTCTCCTAATTAATCAACGATTAGATGATAGAAGTTAATTACGCATAGAGCCGGTTCCACATATTCCAAGCTTCCATTGATTCCCTTAGCCAAATAAATGAAAAGAGTAGTCATAAATCAAGCTCAAGGTCTACGTGTGTGCGTGTAGCATTGATGTGATAACGCAAACGATCCATCTCATTCAGTATGGCAGGAGTTGTGCCTACTCTCATCCAACATATCTAGGTCAGCCTAGACTGATAGAATTATGAACATCACCTTTCATTTGCATTCGTATTTCATTTCAAAATTCATTGCAAAGTTGTTTTTCTATGCCACTTTAAAGAAAATGCCCGTCCGTGTGCACGCGCGCTTTTTTCTTTTTCTTTTTTTTCAAGATAGATATCCCGTTGATGTGTGTTGATGACGCCTTTTAATCAATAGAAACAACTTATCCAGAAGCCCTTGCTTTAAGGACGTCTCACTTCTTTAGAACATGAGGTCAAAGGGTAAACAATTTCGTATTTAGATCATACCCGGGATTGACCGTGCGTCTTATTCAATTTACGTGATTAATGATGTACATGGATTTGACTTATTACATAAAATGGACTTTCTCACACAAGAACACATAAGAAAAAGAAAATCGGCATAGTAGGTTGGAGTGTAAAGGGATTTTCTGCTTATTTACAGTCTACATTGGTAAGAACTCGAGACTTTTGATGAAATTAGCTTATTTATTTTAAATGAAAGATTATTGTAATAACTATTATTAGGGGTCTGTAAAATTTCAAAATTCACTAATTGTGATCAAAATCACTCTACTAACTAAATTTATTTCTATAATACTTTATGGTAAATTACTGTTCATTTTTTCACTTATTTACTTTGATTTGTATGTAATGTTCTTTCATGCGTGTAATAAGATACCATCTGTAATCTTTGTTTATAATTTATCTTTGTAACTTCTTGTAACCACCGAGCAATTATAGAAAACTCTTTAGAATTTTGGGAGTTTTCTATAATTTAGATTGCTACATATTGCCCACTTTTATTTGATATAGTTATAACCCTCCTTTATATCTTCTGTTAGCATGTCAAATGCACATGACTTTTAAGGGGTAAATGTGTATTTTCATAAATTTTTTTTTATGTAAGTCTTCCTTTTATCCTTAATTTCTGTGGAAAATGGAAAAAAAGGAAAACGTTGATAAGATAGTTTAAGAAAAAAATTAATTAAAAAGGAAAAATGCCTCCAAAAAGGTGAAATACCAAAAATTGAAGACTCATTGTGTATTTTCAAATGGTCAATTAATGAAAAAAAAAAGATTGATCAGTAAAGTTTTTAAATGAATCACCTTAGATTTCAACCATTTCCTTTTATGAGTTAAGGGCATCATTTTCTTTATTATTATTTTTGTATATTTTTGTTAATCAATCATTTTAAACATTAATTATCCCTTTCAATACACATAATGAGTACCAATTTTGCTATTTGACCTTTTTGTTATCGAGGCATTTTTTCTTTATTTATTTGTATTTATTCTTTTTCGTAAGTTATTCTGTTTAGTTCTGTTGAAGGGCTACATTTATCAAATTTTATTTATAGTGTTTTTGTTAATTTAGTTTTCTCCCATTTTCTATATATCCCATTTTTACAGCAATTAAAGGTAAAAAGGGAGATTACTTTTACCCCTTAAAAGTCATGTAAATTGTACAGGCTAACCAAAAAAGTAACTGAGTACAGTTGTAACATAAATAAAAGTTCAGGGATATCACGTGACAGTTGAAAGTTTGGAGACAAATGTATTCACACCCCAAAGTTTAGTGGGGGGTTTTGTGCAATTTCCCCTAAGAACAATAAATGGTCAACACCATGAAAAACTCTAAACTGGTATATCTGTGACAAATTTACCCCAAACTGGTACATTTGTGACAAATTTACCCTCCGTTAGTTTCCAATAAATTTTACAGTCAAATTGTTGAATTTGATGACACGTGGCAGTTGACCAGTTTAGAGTTTTACCTTTCGCCTGTCATAAGTGTACCAATTTGTGATTTTTTGTGGTATTAATCCAATTTAACGAAAACTAACGGGGGGGTAAACTTGTCATACTTATAACAGTTTGAGGTTTTTGGTGGTTAAAAAATTAGTTTATAGTAAATTTATTACATGTATACCAATTTGGGTTCTTAGTGGTAAAAAAATTAATTTAAGGCCGATTTATCAGTTTGGGGTTTAAAATCGGTATTAACCCAACAATAAAATGGGTTTTACGTCTAGTACCTCGAACATTACGACTCCCTCTGAAATTCTAACGTTGTCACTGTCCTATCGAAGTTCACTTTGTCATAATCGCTGCATAAGCACTCGGAACTACTCAACGAATATCTATAAAAGAGCCCAAACCAGCAGTTATGGATGAAAACTCCCGAAACACACCTCACGCTCTGCTTCAATTCACATGTTCCTTGTGGGCCTGACCGAGGTGCAATGACCATCGGCGCGACGAATATCTTGCTGGAAGAACCGTGAAGTTCTTTATGCTTCGCTATTCTGGTGGGCGGTGAACCATTTTTGTCAGATTCCAGTTCAATGACAGCATCATGATTAGGAAAAACAGTACAATGATTGATGGGATTGCCTCAGGACTACTTGGTCCTGAGGTTGATGAGGTAGCTAGAGCACAGGCCAAGAAAGGCGCACTTCTTGGGTACTAAGCTTGTAAATTTGCTATGAGTTATGGTTTTCATTTTCTTTGGGCTGATTCGAGATGGGTATTGAGTTAGATCATCAATGAAGCATCGCTCTCTGGAATTCAATCCTGTATTGGGTATTTTAGAGCAGGACGTATTGATGAAGTTCCAGAGTGGCACTCGGATCCGAGACGCGGGAGAATTGGCTTGAACTCCTCGGTCATCACTTTTAGTCTGAAGAGTTGCGTGGAGTTGAACCATTCAGAATTAGGGGGAGGAGTTCGGTGGATGCTTTCAGGTTTGGTCTCGTTGCAGTTGTATTAGGGGGGTTCAGCTCTTACAAATTTGTACTCAACACGGGGGACATTGAGCATGCATCCAAGTTGTTTGACTAAATGACTGTTAGAGATGTTGCAAATACCTCGATTGTTACGGGGTATTCTCATCTCAATGATCTTCATGCTCACGAGGATTTTCAGTTTGCCCGTTATATGTAGGGATTGTTAGAATATTTAAATACTGTGCCACGTCTTTATTTTTTCCTTAAATTTTTAAAATAGTTGGTAGAGATCTAACAAATCTTATATGATATGAGAGCATGAGCTTGGAGTTCAAATCTTTTCAGGTCTCTTATTTGCCTCACTTTTTACGTATTTCCAGGCTTACTATTATATTTTCTGGCAGAAGGTCTCACAAAATCTTACAGGAAGAATGAGACAAAACCAAATCTGAGTCACTCAAGTGAGTTTATTGCAAGCAACAGCAGAGTTGGGAGTACCCGGGATTGGTGCCTCCGTTCATGATCTTGCATTTAAAAGAGGAATCTGTTGTTCTGATGAAGTGCTGAGACATGCCTGATGAACATGTATTTCAAATGTGGGGTGCACAGATTGGCAGCCTCCCTTTTGGCAGAAATGGATACTAGAGATAATTTTCACATCATTGCTTACTGCTTGCAGCATGTAGCCACTCGGGTTTGGTAAAAGAGGGTCTACCCAATTTCAGGCCCATGTGTGAGGAATATTCAGATGTGCCCGCCAAAGACCGTTACAGTTGTGTGATAGATTTATTAAGTGGAGCAGGACATCTTGAAGACTCATATGATCTCATTAAGTTCCCTCAATTGAGACAATACCCTATAGCATTGGTATCCCTTGTAGGCTAATAGATTGTAGGGAGATCGACAGAGGGGAGAGGTTATCAGGAAGGCACCTCCTTGATTTATGACCCAATAATTCTTGAACTTGATGACGTCTTATTTGTAGATGGTGAATATTGGGATTGTGTAGTCAGAATCAGATCCCTAGCTGTGGAGGATGGTCTCTAGAGGACTGCAGGTTATAGTTCGATTTAGGTAGAGAAAAAAGTGGTTCCTAAATATACCATATCATGTAGTATGGTGACATGGTTTCGGGTATATATTCAAGTTTCATTACTTTTAATGCATCTTTATGATCGTGACAACTGTGGACATTTGATTTGATGGGCGGTAGTGAAGTTTCTGTTGCCACCATGAAGTTGCGAATATCTTAATTGCTCGTGCTGCATTTTGTGAGCTCTCTCTCCCTCTCTCTCCCTCTCTCTCTCTCTAATCCAATGCTTCTCCATTTCTTTCCCTTTTTTCTAAATATTTTATTTTGTCTTTTCACTCTTGATGCTCAGATCTGTCTTGTAGCGGCTCAATTCATTAGTGGAGCTCTGAATTGACGGAAGCTTCTGAACCTCTCTCGTAAACAACTCTTGCTAATTCCATTCTTTCTATTTTTCCCCCAATTTTGAGAACATCCGGTTTAGCAATCTCAACAATCTATACCACACAACTTCAAGAGACTGTTTTTAATCTAAATATTGGTTCGTACATAGATTTGTGTTGGCCTCCCACGGAGATTACAAATCAAGCTATAGAGTGATAGTGTCTTGTGATTTGTGTGTTGGCATTAATCACGATTGCTGTACATTATGTTTCTCTCTCTAGATCATGATCATTGTAATTCCTGTGTATTCTATTTTGATCAGGATTGCTGTATATTGAAATAACTAGGCTTTAAAACCTGCCTTTATTATCCATTAGTTTTCATTTTAACCCCTGATAAGATAAGAGCACCATGTCTTTTAATTAAATTTTTGAACTTTTCTGCAGCAAATCCATATCAGAAATAAAGACTGCGTACAAACTTAAGTGTGTGGCTTCACGTATTGGGAAGAAAAGCTGTGAGACAGAAACACTTGCTGAAACGCTATGATTACATGATCCACTCTAATGCAGCAACCGATAATGACTGTTCTGAGGATCGTGTCTAAGACTGATGAATCAGGTAATACTTAAATTTTTCTCTGGTCCTATTAAGTTATTGGCTATTGAATTTTGTTAACAGGGGCACTTGTTAAACACCTCGATAAAGGAAGTTTATCATTCTTAATGCACTGTCTTTCTCGTGTTATGTGTAATCAAATACATTGAAATTGAAAACATGTCCTTATTAACTATAACAACACCCTTCCGTGGCTTGTTTCTTTCTTACTTCATAAGATTCATCCATACGAGTACTCACAAACACAGAACAGGAGTTTTTTTTTAATGAAACCCCATCTTCTTTCTTTGCATTGCATTGCATTTATCACATATTGAAGGAACTAGCAAATATGATACAGAACTTAAAACAACAATAACATCATGATTCTAGGTGATGAGATTGTGCTTCATTGGCTATTGATTATTTTATATGTCAAGACAATCGATTGATGGATTTGCAAGATTTTGCTTTCCTCATTAATTTTTTTATTCACCATTGGCATTTTTTATAATCACTTGACCATCCATTCCATATGGTAGATTGTCAGCCAACACTCTTAAATTTAATTCATAGACCTGTTCGATGCAACGATTTCTCCAGATAGCAAGCGTACCTTCTTAGAATGGAATAATTAATGATTGAACTACTTCTCTGATCACCTTATCAGAGCTCCCACCTCTCCCAACAGCCTTCCTAGCCTCTTCTCTCGCCTTCTTGGCTCTCTCTCTCAGCTTCTCATCCGTCATCAACTCTACAATCTTCTGCTCAATCTCTTCTCCTTTCACAATACCATTGGGACCCCAATCCCAGTTCCTCTCCCACAGTCCCAATCCCGCATCTTCCACGACCTGTGTATTCAGCCTTTGATCACCATGTTGCGGCCAGGCAAGCATTGGGACTCCCCGTAGAGCCGCTTCCATCACCGAGTTCCATCCGCAGTGACTTAAGAACCCTCCGATGGCGGGATGCCGTAGAATCTCCTGTTGGTCCACCCACCCTTTTATGACCAGCCCCTTATTCTTTGTCTTCTCCAAGAAGGATTCATTCAAAACGTGTTCAGCATCCTCTTGGTCATCCTTATCTACTTTACTGGTTTTTAGGACCCAGAAGAATCTCCACTCTGTCTTCTCCAGCCCTTTTTCCAACTCTCGAATCTGATCTCTGGACATCGCCGTTCTGCTCCCAAAGCTTATGTAGACCACAGATTCAGCTGGCTGATTTTCCAGCCATGATCTGTATTGATCCCCGTCATCGTCACGTGGAAAATGATATGGTTCTAATGGCCCTATGGGCAGAATGGGCGGCAAGCTTTTAATCACCCTATCTTTGTTGAGAGCGGCAAGTGTAGATGCTTCGAACCACTCAAAAGTGTTCATCAAGATTCCTTTGGCCTCTGATAGAGCTGGAGAGTTTGTTGTAATAATCGATGTCAGAAGATGACTGGAATCATGGAATACCGGTGGGATGCTTGACATTGCCATGGGTGGCAATCCCGGTATCTTGATTTCGGTGGAAGTTGTATTGAACTCCACTGGGTTCGATGCCAGCATTGGAAGGTACGCCATGAGCGAGAGGAAAGTGACTGAGGAGGTGGAAAGGATATAAATAGGGAGGTCAAGGGTTTTAGCAATTGGAGCAACCTTGGCAACTAAAAGGAAGTCCACAATTATAGCGGAAAAAGGTGGAGATGATGAAGATAACAGTGGAGGGAGAAGATGGATTGACTGATTGATGAGATGCATCTGGACAAAGAAAGGGTCAACAGGACCTGAATCAGCTTGCCGGGAGCTAGGAGTAAGCTGGAGTTCAAGATGATTGATTTTGGGGTTGGGGCGAAGGAATGAGGATATGTGGTCTGACTCGGCGATGGACACGGTGGGTCGAGCTGTAATGACCGTAACGATGCTTTCTTGCTTCGCCAGCATTGCCGCGAGCCGGAGGAATGGCATCAAATGGCCCATTCCAGCACTGGGGAGCACAGCTATGTGAGGAGGTTGTGGTGTATTCATTGCTACAGGGCGTTCTTGGATGATGAAGACACTATAGATGATTACCAAACAGATGCTGAAAAGGGGTTTTATTATAATGAATGAATGAATGAATGTAGGTGGGCTCGTGTAGTCACGTGCGGGATTAGGTGAGAAACCCGGAAGCCATCTACCACTCAATGATTTTTGGAATTTTTTAGTGAAATGATCTTTCTTTGCTTCTTTTACAAAGGTAGTGTAGAATAGATTTACCGAAGTCAGCTCCTAGTTATTTGTGAACTATTTAAATTAGTGCCGATCGATGTGAATCGTGTGCAAAACTGTTTATCCAACCGGCGAAGAGTCACGTCGGACATCAATTCTTTGTTTTTACATTTCAAAGATATCAAGAATCATCCATGGTTCTTAAGAAACTTGCCGAGAGAACTAACAAAGACAGAATAAGAACACCATAAGTATCATAATTTTCGTATGGCACTCACTTGAGAGCCATGACATTTTTTTTCCATCGCTCGAGTGTTATGACTTCCAAAAAACATTTATTTGCGTGTCATAAATTTTAATCGATTACTTGAACGCCATAACTTTTAAAAAACATTCACCAAAGTGTCAAAAAGTTGACGTGGCGTGGAACTTGGCGTGAACATTTATACTAGTTTGGGTTCTTGATGGTAAAAAAATTAATTTGAGGTAAATTTATCACCAGCGTACTAATTTGGGGTTTTAAAACGGTATTAACCCAACAATAAAATGGGATTTAGTTCTAGTACCTCGAACATTACGACTCCCTCTGAAATTCTAACGTTGTCACTGTCCTATCGAAGTTCACTTTGTCATAATCGCTGCATAAGCACTCGGAACTACTCAACGAATATCTATAAAAGAGCCCAAACCAGCAGTTATGGATGAAAACTCCCGAAACACACCTCTCTCTCTCTGCTTCAATTCACATGTTCCTTTTGGGCCAGACCGAGGTGCAATGACCATCGGCGCGACGAATATCTTGCTGGAAGAACCGTGAAGTTCTTTATGCTTCGCTATTCTGGTGGGCGGTGAACCATTTTTGTCAGATTCCAGTTCAATGACAGCATCATGATTAGGAAAAACAGTACAATGATTGATGGGATTGCCTCAGGACTACTTGGTCCTGAGGTTGATGAGGTAGCTAGAGCACAGGCCAAGAAAGGCGCACTTCTTGGGTACTAAGCTTGTAAATTTGCTATGAGTTATGGTTTTCATTTTCTTTGGGCTGATTCGAGATGGGTATTGAGTTAGATCATCCATGAAGCATCGCTCTCTGGAATTCAATCCTGTATTGGGTATTTTAGAGCAGGACGTATTGATGAAGTTCCAGAGTGGCACTCGGATCCGAGACGCGGGAGAATTGGCTTGAACTCCTCGGTCATCACTTTTAGTCTGAAGAGTTGCGTGGAGTTGAACCATTCAGAATTAGGGGGAGGAGTTCGGTGGATGCTTTCAGGTTTGGTCTCGTTGCAGTTGTATTAGGGGGGTTCAGCTCTTACAAATTTGTACTCAACACGGGGGACATTGAGCATGCATCCAAGTTGTTTGACTAAATGACTGTTAGAGATGTTGCAAATACCTCGATTGTTACGGGGTATTCTCATCTCAATGATCTTCATGCTCACGAGGATTTTCAGTTTGCCCGTTATATGTAGGGATTGTTAGAATATTTAAATACTATGTCACGTCTTTATTTTTTGCTTAAATTTTTAAAATAGTCGGTAGAGATCTAACAAATCTTATATGATATGAGAGCATGAGGTTGGAGTTCAAATCTTTTCAGGTCTCTTATTTGCCTCACTTTTTATGTATTTCCAGGCTTACTATTATATTTTCTGGCAGAAGGTCTCACAAAATCTTACAGGAAGAATGAGACAAAACCAAATCTGAGTCGCTCAAGTGAGTTTATTGCAAGCAACAGCAGAGTTGGGAGTACCCGGGATTGGTGCCTCCGTTCATGATCTTGCATTTAAAAGAGGAATCTGTTGTTCTGATGAAGTGCTGAGACATGCCTGATGAACATGTATTTCAAATGTGGGGTGCACAGATTGGCGGCCTCCCTTTTGGCAGAAATGGATACTAGAGGTAATTTTCACCTAATTGCTTACTGCTTGCAGCGTGCAGCCACTCGGGCTTGGTAAAAGTGGGTCTACCCAATTTCAGGTCTATGTTTAAAGAATATTCAGATGTGCTGGCCAAAGACTGTTACAGTTGTGTGATAAATTTATTAAGTCGAGCAAGACATCTTGAAGACTCATATGATCTCATTAAATTCCCTCAATCGAGACAATACCCTTTAGCATTGGGATCCCTTGTAGGCTAATAGATTGTATGGAGATCGAGAGAGGGAAGAGGTTATTAGGAAGGCACCTCCTTGATTTATGACCAAATAATTCTTGAACTTACTTGATGATGTCTTATTCGTTCATGGTGAAAAATGGAATGATGTAGACAAAATGTGTATGATCAAGAGAGGGGAGAGGTTATTAGGAAGGCACCTCCTTGATTTATGATCAAATAATTCTAGAACTTACTTGATGATGCCTTATTTGTGGATGGTGAATATTGGGATGATGTAGTCAGAATCAGATCCTTAGCTGTGGAGGCCCGTCTCAAGAGGACTCCAGGTTGTAGTTTGATTTAGGTAGAGAAAAAAGTGGCTCCTAAATATGCCTATCATGTGGTATAGTGATATGGTTTCAGGCATATACTCAAGTTTCATTAATTTTAATACATCTTTATGATCATGACAACTGTGGACATTTGATTTAATGGGTGGCAATGGAGTTTCTGCTACCACCACGAAGTTGCACATCTCTTAACTGCTGGTGCCACGTTTTGTGAGCTCTCTCTCGCTCTCTCTTTCCGTCTCTCTGTCTCTCTCTCTCTCTCTCTCTCTCTAATCTGATGCTTCTCGAATTCTTTCCTATTTTGCTGAATAACCTATGTTGTCTTCTCACTCTTTGTGCTCAAATCTGTCTCGTAGCAGCTCAATTCATTAGTGGAGCTCTGAACAGATGGAAGCTTCTGAATCTCTCTGGTAAACCGCTCTTGCTAATTCCATTCTTTGTAATTTTTTTCCTCAATTTTGAGAACATCCTGTTTAGCAATCTGAACAATCTATACCACACAACTTCAATAGACTGTTTTAATCTAATAGATGGATTGTACATAGAGTTGTGTTGGCCTCCCATGGAGATGACAAATCAAGCCACAGAGTGTCAGTGTCTTTTGATTTATGTGTTGGCATTAATCAGGTTTGCTGTATATTATGTTTCTCTCTCCAGATCATAGTCATTGTAATTCCTGTGTATTCTTTTTTGACTTCATAAAATCAGTCTCTGTTGGATTGCGATATGTTATTTGAATTATTTAGGTCATTATGTTTTTTGTCGAAAATGACTAGAGCTGATATTTCACCAATATGGTCGTCAAATTTCCTTGCAATAAATTTTGTCTAGAGCTTTTGTAATGCAGAAGGTAAAGTTTGAAGGAGCAGAGCATGTTATTAGAAGTATATGATGATTGAGAAATTAAAACTTTATTTAAGGAAGCACATATATGAAGCCATTACTCTACATGAACTAACATTTAAATTCACCAAAGCATAGCATGCATCTTGCTCCATGCAAGAAAGAAAGTCTATTGAGGGGACACATAGCTTATCTGTGCCAAACACTGAGAAATTTAATTATAGTCTTTTTCATTTATATTGAAATAACTAGGCCTTAAAACCTGCCTTTATTATCCATTAGTTTTCATTTTAACACCTGATAAGATAAGAGCACCACGTCTTTTAATTAAATTCTTGAATTTTTTTGCAGCAAATCCATATCAGAAATAAAGACTGCATACATAATTATGTGGCTACACGTATTGGGAAGAAAAGTTGTGAGACAGAAACACTAGCTGAAACAGTATGATTACATGATCCACTCTAACGCAGCAACTGATAATGAGTGTCATGAGGATGATGTGTCTAAGACTGATGCACCAGGGAATACTTAAATTTCTCTTGGGTCCAATTAAGCTATTAGCTATTGAATTTTCTTAAAAAGGGCACTTGTTAAACACCTCGATAAAGGAAGTTTATCATTCTTAATGCATTGTCTTTCTCGTATTATGTGTAATCAAATGCATTGAAATTGAAAACATGTCCTTGTTAACTACAACAACACCTTAAACTATTGGCCGTAGCTTGTTTCTTTCTTACTTCATATGATTCATCCATAAGAGTGCTTACAAACACTGAAAAGGACTTTTTAATTAAAACCCAAATTCTCTCTTTGCATCACATTACATTTATCATATATTGAAGGCAGTAGCAAACATGATACAAATCTAAGAATGACAAAAACATCACGATCCTAGGCACAGATAATGAGATCGTGCTTCATTGGTTTTTGATTCTTTTTTATCTCAAGACACAATTGTTGATTGATTTGCGAATTTGCTTTCCTTATTGATCTTTAATTCACCAATGGCATTTTTTTTCAATCACTTGACCATCCATTACATACTGTAGATTTTGAGCCAACACTCTTTAGTTCATAGGCTTGTTCAATGCGACAATTTCTTCAGATAACAAATGTACCTTCCGTTAGAATGGAGTAATTAACGATTTAACTACTTCTCTGGTCGCCTTATCGGAGCTCCTACCTCTCCCAACAGCCTTCCTAGCCTCCTCTCTCACCTCCTTGGCTTTCGCTCTCAACTTCTCATCTATCATCAACTCTACTATCTTCTTCTCATTCTCTTCCCCTTTCTCAATAACATCGGGACCCCAATCCCAGTTCCTCTCCCACAGTCCCAATCCTGCATCCTCCATGACCTGTGCATTCAGCCTTTGATCACCATGTTGTGGCCAGGCAAGCACTGGGACTCCCTCTAGAGCTGCTTCCATCACCAAGTTCCACCCGCAATGACATAAGAACCCTCCAATGGCGGGATGCCTTAGAATCTCTTGCTGGTCCACCCACCCTTTTATTATCAACCCCTTGTTCTTTGTTTTCTCCAAGAAGGAATGAATCAGAAAGTGTTCCGCATCCTCTTGATCATCCTTATCCACTTTACTGGTTTTTAGGACCCAGATAAATTTCCACCCGGAATTCTCCAGCCCTTTTTCCAACTCATGTATCTGATCTCTGGACATTGCTGTTCTGTTCCCATAGCTAATATACACCACAGATTCAGCTGGCTGGTTCTCCAGCCATGACCTGTACTGATCCCCATTATTGTCATGTGGAACATGATATGGTTCCAATGGCCCTATAGGCAGAACGGGCGGCAAGCTTTTAATCACCCTATCTTTGTTGAGAGTGGTAAGTGTAGATGCTTGGAACTGTTATAGCTAGCAGGTATCACCTAGAGGGGGGGTTGAAGAGGTGATTCGAGTGATTTTTATGAATTTAAAGCGGAAACGATTTATAAACAGTAAAATCCGAATAATATTCAGATTCTGAATGTGATAGTGTGCAGTGTAAATAATATAATGAGAGATTAGGGATAGAGAGAAATACACATAAGAAGTTATAGTGGTTCGGCTTACATCAAGCCTACGTCCACTCTCCCACGCCGACAGCTTACTAGTTGGATTCCACTATGTGATCAAAAGAATTACAAGATCTGAGTGATATCACTCAGTGAATGATAGAACTTTCTATCTTACACAATCACTTTTACAGAGTATCCCTCAAAATCTCAGTATTTAGCTTAGGAAGAACAAGTAGTAGAATCGGAATAAGCTTAGATTTTGGACTTGTTGATTCTCGATTTCGTTCTGTACCTTCTGCTTCTCATTGGTCTCCTTTTATACTCCACTTCCAAATTAACCGTTGGACAGTTTTCAGATGATTTTCTTCAAATCTTTACCTTGGACAAATTTATATAAAATGGATTGAGTAGCCGTTGGTTGACAAAATCCGAATCCCACTGAATCTGATCGCTCATACAATCAGAATCTTGATTTTCATAAATAGAGTTTTATTCGTTGCGATATATACTTGTCATAATATTTGATTGTCAATCAATTAGGCTTAGATTGGATCAATCAAAACTTTCCTTTTGTGAAATCCAAGCCAGATCACTAGCTGTTATATTTCGTTCTGAATAAATTCCGAGTCTGAAGAATTTCTGGTTCTTGGTTTACATTCAGAACCTGAGTCAGTGTAGGTCTTCATTAAAGTCCGAGTTCTTCAAAATTAGAGTATGAAGATCTCTGACATCTTAAGATAAAGACCGAGTGTCTATTTCAGTAGAGTCTGAACTTCTCATTCTAAACCTTGTAAAGTCTGAAGATTTCCTTCTAAACCTCTAAAGTCTGAGCGTCCAGAAAGTTAACTTCTCTTGAAGTATTAAAGTTGCTACTTCTAGAGTATATATACCTTGATCAAAATACTTCAGAGTACATATCAGATTTACAAGATTAACATAGATAGTTTTGTCAACTTCAAAATCTATTTAGAAAATTTACTCAACAGGAACCACTTAAAAGTGTTCATCAAGATTCCTTTGGCCTCTGATAGAGCTTGAGAGTTTGTAATAATGGTTGACGTAAAAAGATGACTGGAATCAAGGAATACTGGCGGGAGGCTTGACATGGCCATGGGTGGAAATCCTGGTATCTTAATTTCAGTGGAAGTTTTGTTGAACTCAGCCGGGTTTGATGCCAGCGCCAGAAGGTATGCCGTGAGGGCAAGGAAAGTGACTGAGGTGGTGGAAAGAATATAAATAGGAAGGTGAAGGGTTTTAGCAATTGGAGCAATCTTGGCAACTAGAAGGAAGTCCACAAATATAGCGGAAAAAGGTGGAGATGATGAAGATAACAGTGGGGGGAGAAGATGGATTGACTGACTGATGAGATGCATCTGGAGAAAGAAAGGGTCAACAGGAGCGGAATCAGCTTGCCGGAAGCTAGGAGTAAGCTGGAGTTCAAGATTTTGGGATTATGGCGAAGGAATGAGGATATGTGGTCCAACTCGGCGATGGACACGGTGGGTCGAGCTGTAATGACAGTAGCGATGCTGTCTTGCTTCTCCAGCATTGCCTCGAGCCAGAGGAATGGCATCAAATGGCCCATTCCAGCACTAGGGAACAGGGCTATGTGAGGAGGTTGTGGTGTAGACATTGCTAGAGGGCGTTCTTATATGATGAAGAGACTATAGAAAATCGCCAAATAGATGCTGAAAAGGAGGTTTCTTTATGGTAAATGAAACAGTTTATTTGCCGATCATTCGTTTGTGTTTTCTATTTTATAAACGATAGAGAAACAAAGAATGAATGTTGGGTTTTCTTTGGCCAGAAGTGTAGGTGGGTTCGTGTAGTCACGTGCTGGATTAGGTGAGAATAATCTCAGTGTGTATTGCGAATCGGAAAAAAAAGGATTATACGTAATCCGTGTATTTATGATGTACGTAAAATGACATAAATGAATGACAAGAAATGACATAAATAACCTTATTTTTTTCAGTTTAAAGAAAACGAAACTTTCAAAAGATTAATGATACTTTTGGGGAAAACGATATTACGAGTGTTATAACTTTTAGGGCCACGCTTATGCTATTCCCGCTATAACTAAAACACTCCTTAATATTGTGTCCTGATAATATTTCCCTTTGTGGGTTCCACTTTTTAGCATCCCTTTGTCATTTTCTTTTATTAATTTCCTTTTTTTTGTGGGTCCTACATCGACTTTCCTTAATCTTTTTCCTTCTTTCTTTCTGTTTTTGGTGGAACTCTGTTCTTTCTCAAGAGGCAGAGAAATGGAGATTATGAAGGTCATGTCCTTGTGTTCGCATATCCTAGATAGGGCATGAAGCCCTCCTCCCAATACATGCTCTGCAAGGAAATTTAGCAAAATGGTCGGAAGATATTTTCCACAGCTAAATGGGGAGAAGGCGAGGAAATTGATTATCAGGCTCTAGGAGGTGCCAAAAGGATTTGTTTGTGAGCTACGCTGATTTTGCGAATTTCATTGATGCCTTATGCATAGAAGAGGTTTTTTATGAAATGTTTTAGATTGCGGAGAGTATGCCTCTAGACTGCAGCCCTCAGCCTCCCCATCACCTTTCCTAGCTCCTCCTTCTCATCGGTGCGAACTACTCCACCTTCGTCGGGTTCATCAAATGCAGAGCGCACAACTTCCTCATGCCCATCAGTATACGCCACTCTCCGTGAACACCATCCCTTGCTACCAGTAAGACATGTGGCGCAGACCCTTCACTCAGGAGGCTCGAGAAGGTGCAGTTGTAGGTCATGAAGACCAGTTTAGTTGCCTCCGCCTATACAAACGTGGAAGTTTCCATTTCTCTATCTCTTTATTGATGCAGGTGGTTACATGAGAGAGAACGTAGAGAAGCAAGAAGATAAGGAAAGTGAATGTGGGACCCACAAGAAAAGAAATAGAAAATTAATAAAAGAAAAAAAAATGTAACAACACTTTCTTAAAACATTGGCAGAAGAGGATGCTCGAAAGTGAGACCCACAAATGGTAATATAGTCAGATTATTATGTCGAGGAGCGTTTTAGCCAAATGAGTGGAAAAAGCGCAATCCTAACGTTTATGATACTTACTTTAATGTCAAAACTTTTTGAGCGATTATTTGAATGTTAGTTTGGTATAAACTTGATCACTTCAGTGTCATCATTGATTTGAGTGGCCGAAAAATTCGACGTGGTTTGTTGACAAAGAGCCATTGTTAACCATATTTATTGTCTATTGGGAAAATTACCAAAAACTTCCTAAACTTATTATAATTTTACCAATGTAATCCTGAACTTTTTAATTGTGCCAATTAAGTCTTAAACCTTTTCACGTTTTGCCAATTGAGTTCATTCGGCCAAATTTTGGTCGGAAATCGCCGATGTGGTCTCCAGCCTTCTTATATGGCACTCATGGTATTTTTTTATAATATTTTAACATTTTTTTAATTAATTAATTTATTTATTTTAATATTTTTTCTTCTTACGTTTTCTTTTTTCTATGGCCAGCGAGGATGCTCTCGTCGGCGTCGGCTGCAGCTGAGGGCTAGGATGCCTCGCTGTCCACAAACAAGGGTTGCAGCCCTTGCCCGGCCTCGCCCAAATATGGCTGAGGCCATCACGGCCGCAAGCGAGGTAGCCTTGCCCAGATTCGGGCGAGGCTATATGGGCAAGGCTAGCTTGGCTTACAGCCGGCAATAGTGGTCCTAAGGGTCTCAGGCAATTTTCATCATTGCTTGACCACGGAATGGTTCTACAAAGCTTCGGGAATGTCTAAGCAAATATGGTGGCCGATAAAAATGGCTTCTTGAAAAAATTGCAACCCAAAATTTGGGTCTTGGCTGAGCTTGTTGGACATGATTCCAACGAGTGTCAACCGAGGTGATGGGGTTGTCGAAGGTCATGGCGCAGCGTCGGAGGTCTGGGTGGTGATGGTCGAACGTCGATGAAGTGACCGAGTGATTGTGCAAAGAAACGAGGAACAGTGACGAAGCGGAGCTCCAGCGCAGAAGGAACAAGAAAACCGAGCTTTGAGTGGATGAACATTGGATGAAACTTAAATCTATGATTAAGACACGCAATCTCACGTTTGAGCAATTATGGGTGTATGCTGAAAGTAATCAAAGTTTCTAAATAAGTTTCTAAATTTGTTGGATGAAGGCTGATTTGCAGGGGTGTGCAAAGGAATCGGAAACC